TCAATGATAATAGAGAATCACTGAACAGCTGCCTCCTGCACGCCCCATACTGGGGATCAAGCCCGAAACTAGGGCATGTGCCCTTGACCAGAATTGAACCCGGGACCCTTCAGTCCTCAGGCTGATGCTATATCCACTGAGCCAAACCGGCTAGGGCTTAAGAGTTTTTTAAAATTGATTTTAGAGAGGAAGAGAGAGAGAGAGAGAGAGAGAGAGAGAGAGAGAGAGAGATTGCCTCTCACATAGGCCCAGATCAGGAATTGAACCTGCAAACTTGGTATGTGCCCTGACCAGGAATTAAATTCTCCATCTGTTGGTGCATGAGTCAATGCTCCAACCAACTGAGCCACACTGCCAAGGCAAACATGTAAAAGTTTTATTGAATAATGAAGGAACCAGCACATAAGAAAACAGTTGTTTTGAGAAGCATTTGAAGAGCAGTCTGACATCAGAGGGCAAATAAATGCCAAATAAGATTGCTAAATTAGTTGAGTGGTTAATTTCTTCAGAGCAATAAAGGCCTATCACATTTGAGGTTAACATCTCTATCTAGATTGTGGTAACCATCCTATCAACTTATCAAGTTTACAAGCAAAGCCAGTGATTGAGTTTCAGCCTATGAACCAGGAGGTCACAGTTCAATTCCCGGTCAGGGCACATGCCTGAGTTGGGGGCTCGATCTCCAGTGTGGCGTGTGCAGGAGGCAGCCAATCAATGACTCTCTCTTCATTGATGTCTCTCTCTCTCTCTCTCTCTCTCTCTCTCTCTCTCTCTCTCCCTTCCTCTCTGAAACTTAAAAAAAAAAACTTTACAAGCAAACTTCTAATCTTATAGATCAGTTGTCTTTCTGCATCTTCATCAGATGTTGATTGTTGTCAAATATATACTTTCATTTCCCAAGAGCATCACATTAAGGCAGGCAGATAATAAATGTTCAGGCATGTATAAAAACATCAAGCAATTATCAGTATCTTTCCAAGTTTGAGATTAAATTTTAAAATATATATTATATATTTTTAATTAAGTATTTATTGTTG